TGACAGTTTCTTTACCTATTTGTATTCCTTTTATTCCTTCTTCTTGCCTAATTGCTCTGGCTAGGAATTCCAGTACTATGTTGAATAGGAGTGTAGGCAGGACTCTTGAGCCCCAGCCCTTTTTTGCTTTAGTTATTTTTCAAGGAGGGTCTCACGTTTTTGCCCAGTGCTGGCCTCAGACCGTGATCCCTCTATCTATAGTGTCCCAAATGGCTGGGATTATAGGTATGTACTACCACAGCTGGCTAGAGCTTTTTATCCAATCCCTCCTGGAGTTTTCCCTTCATCTTTCTCCTGCCTCTGGTCTCGCTGGCACCCTCGGCCTATTCCCATGGGTCTTAACTGATTCTGGGTGTGCATTACTCCTCCAGACTGTGTTCTTTCTGGCTCACAGTTTTGGTCTAGTGTCAGTTTGACCTTCCAACACTCCTGCTACTTTAATTTGTGCATCCCATTTTTGTAGCTGGGTTTTGGAGGGTGGAAGTGGTCCTAGTACTCTTGAATTCTCAGCCCTTAACATTAGTCAGGTGTGTATAGGAAGAACCATGATGCTGTGTGTGAGCAGAGGCCAGAGTTCTTGGCCTCTCCCTTCTACTCCTCATGGCCTCACTGTTCTTTGCCTTCCATTCCTGGGTCCCATGCTCCAGAATGGCCCTCAGCTTAGGTCTGAGGGCAGGAGCTTGCCTGGAGTGCCTGGCTCAAGTTCCCCCTGGCCCTGTTGTCTGAGGACTGGGCCCTACTCAGGTATGAGTGTGCAGTGGTGGTTTGCCCCTCAGGCCAGGCCAGCCTGGCAAGAGCTGCAGTGACACACTTCTTGCTTAGAAACAGACATTGGATGCTTACATTTGAGTCATCGTAACATCGGTACTTTATCAAGTCCATTCTGATATCATTAAATCTCCATGGAAAGTGTGAAGAGGCCTCTCTCCAGTTAAAGTCCTGAGATTTTAACAAAGTGTCCACATTAAGATTTGGAAATGGTCACACAGCCTTTGGCAGATATTTGGTAAGACACTGGATTGAAGCAGTTGTAACTGTGATGAAGTCACTGGTGGCAATGAGCTCAGGGGCTTACAGAGGCCTTGTGAATGTTCTCCAGTGAACGGTGGCTTTCTGTGGCTCCTTTTCAGTTGAACATTCTCCTGCTCATTGCAGCTGGGGGTGCACTCTAGTGCTCCCCTACACATTCCTTTGCTGTCAAGTTAATTTGATCAGAATTGGTAAAAGGCCCTGTAACTTGTTTTGCTTTTTCTCGAGTGTGTTTCTGTTGGCAGCAAAACATGGAAACTTCAGAGCAGTCCTGACCAGTCCTGAGAGCAGTCACTCAGACTAATAAGCATGACAGGCCACACCCTAAAGACAGCTTCTAAGCCACTGCAAGACATTGTTATTAAAAAAATAGGATGGTACTTTTGACCCGATTAATTGGCATTATCAATTAAGTGTTCATTAAAAATTCATATTTCAGCCAGGCGTGGTGGTGTATGTCTACAATCCCAGCTAAATGGTAGGGGAAAATGGTCTAAGGCTGGCCCAGGGCAAAAATATGAGACTCTATATGAAGAATAACTAAAGCAAAAAGGGCTGGGGTTGTGGCTGAAGTGGCAAAGTGCCTGCCTGGCAAGCTCAAGGCCCTGAGTTCAAACCCCAGTATAGTAAAAAAAAAAAACCCTCAAGGTAAAACATTTCAAGTAGCCATAGAGGTTCATCTGTGGTCCCAGTTACTTGAGAGGATGAGGCACGAGGATTCTTGAGCCCAAAAATCAATGCCGGTCTGGGCACCATCGCAAAATGCCACACACACACACACACACACACACACACACACACACACACACACACACAAAGTCCATATTTCAAATGGTACTAAAAAATGTTATTTCATTACTAAAAATGTTATTTCATTCTGATTTTTTAAAACCTTGACTACTTGAGTTAACAGTGGGTGTCATCAAAGGAGTCTTACTGCTCCTTTTTCATGGATCTTGTCTGGGTTGACTGGAGTCCTGGGGACTTGGCTAAATCTGGGCATGCAGAGCAGCAAGGGCATTTCAGTGGTACCCTGGGAAGACCCCACCTGGGGCCTGCGCTTAGTGAGATGTCACCAGCCATCCAAATGATGCAGATGGTAGACTGTCTCTGGGTTGGGTCTTGGGGCTACTCAGGACTTTTCCTCAATGTGTGGAGGTCTGAAGAGAGGTACTAACTTGGCAGATCTTCATATTATGTTTAAGTGTCTTATTTCTTTAGCCAAGAAGGGAAGACCATGGGCCAGCCTGTGCTTCTTGCTGAACTGTGGGCTGACACCTGCCAGTTGACATCAGAACTCTGGTCTCAGTTTTCAGGAGACAGACAAGGCGTGGCATGGAGGATGTCTGGCGTTGGCAGAACTGGGCAGACGAGGCCTGTTGCTCCCCTTGCGACTCAAGGAGGGTAAGTACTTGAAGCACGTGGATCTGTGTCCTTAGGCTGATGTGGCATGATAGGGATCCTCAGCTGAGCCATCTCCCTGGCGTGGCCAGTCATGTACATACACACAGTGTGTGGGAGAGCGCATTAGATGCATGTCTTGGAGACTTTTTTCTTGTACCAGCCTTTACGATTTCCTGATTGCATGTTCCGCCCACTGTGGAATTTGCCTACACAGACCATGGTGGTGTCTGTTTTTCTTGTCTGCGGAGTTGATTTTCACCTTCTTGATGTCATTCATTGAGAGTATCTGCAGCTGTAGAACCTGGTCCCCCACAGCATCCTTTGTCACTGGCAGGGACAGTGGTGCTCTGGTGATGAGGCTCATGCTACATTTTGTTGGGCTGAGAATCAGGATGGAAGGCTGGGGAAACTCCGCAGTGGCAACTGTGGGGCTGAGCTTGGAGACAGTGTGGGGGACAGGAGAAGGACTATGCGTCCTGGCCAGGTGTAGGCAGAGGTGGGGAGCTGTGACCGTGTCTGGTTGGGGATGGTCCCTGGTGTGGCTGGAGGTGCCCCATGAGTAGGAAGACAGGAAGTCCACAAAGGGCCCAGAGGACCCTGCCCAAGTGTATTCCATAGATGCTGTGCCTCATCAGGGTCTGCACCAGGCACGGCAAGCAGAGCAGAGCAGAGCAGCACAGTGTGGGAGATCCTCAAGCTGCAAGTCCTGTTTAGCCTTTGTGTTTTTGCAAAAGCAACTTCATTGTGATGTTTGTGTGCTGTAAAGTTCACCTATTTCAAGTGCATAGCTAAGTGGTCTCTAGCACATTCGAGGTTGTGCAACATCACCACAACTTCAGAACATTTTCATGGCCCCAAGCAGAAACCCTCACTTAGGAGCAGTCACTCCACACCACTCCCTAGCCCTGGGCGATGCTGATGTACTTTCTGCTGCTCTATTTTGCTTTTTCTAGACGTTTCATAGAAACGGAATCTGTAATATGTGCTTTTGTCATGTTTGACTTCTCTCTCTCTTTTTTTTTTTTTTTTGGCAGTACTGCTTTTGAACTCAGGGCCTCACACTTGCTAGGCAGGCGCTCTACCACTTGAGCCACTGCACAAGCTCTGTTTTGTGTTTTTTCTTTTTGAGATAGGGTCTCGAGAACTGTTTACCTGGGCTGGCTTCAAACCACGATCCTCCTGATCTTTGCCTCCTGAGTAGCTAAGATTATAAGTGTGAGCCACCAGTGCCCGGCTGAATTATTATTAGTGTAATTTTCTTTTGCTTTTGGTGGTACTGGGGTTTGACAGGCGTTTTAATGCTTGAGCCACACCAGAGCTTTTCTCTGGTTATTTTGGAATGAGGGACTTGCTTTTTGCGCAGTCTGGCCAGGATCGATCATCCTGTTCTATGCTTCCTGCTGCTGCTGAGATGACAGGTGTGTACCACCATGCTCAGCTTTTTTCTATCAAGATGGGGTCTAGCTAGCTTCTTTGCCTGGGCTGGCCTGGAACCATAATCCTCCCTCAACCTCCCAAGTAGCTATGATTGCAGATGTGAGCCACCGGCGCCTGGCTAGTATGTTTCTGATGTTTATCCGTGTTGCAGCATGTCAGAGGTCCACTCCTTTTCACTGTCTGCATGCACCACCTTTCCTTTATTTTCATCAGTTGGTGGACGCTTGGGTTGCTCTGTCTTTCTGCTATTATGAATAATGCTGCCGTGATCATCTGTGCGCGGGCTTTTTTGTGGATGTAGATCTAAGAGAGGAATTAAGAAACTGCCGAACTTTCCCACCACCATGGTTGCACCACTTTCCAGTCTTGCCAGCTGTGTAGGAGGGTCTAGCTTCTCCACATCCTCATAACATTCGTTTTTGTCTCTGTTTCTCTCTCTCTCTCCTTTTTTTTTTGGTGTGACTGGGGTTTGAACTCAAGGCTTTGTGCTTGCAAAGCAGGTGCTCTAATGCTTGAGCCACACCTCCAGCCCATTTTGTTCTGGATATTTTGGAGATGGGATCTTGTGGGGCTGGTCTTTAACCATGATCCTCTTGGCCTCCATCTTCCAAGTAGCTAGGATTACAGGTGTAAGCCACTGTTGCCCAGCTTATTTTTTGTCCCTTTTTTAAATTTTTTTAAATGCTAGCCATTGTAGAGAGTATGGAATATTACCTTATTGTATCCTGACGACCCAGGAAACAGTCTGGAACTGTGCTCCCAGTGTTACCAGATGACGACTGTTCCTACAGCTTAGACTATAAGGGGGCTTGTTAATTATGTTCTCATTTGTCAGGAATTGTGATTGGTGTGGGAAATGTCAAATGTCTTGTAAGAAAGGATAGGCCCAGTCTCCAGGGGGAGGGCTTTACAATGGTTACAAGTGGTGAACTCCATTCTCCACTTAAGAAGTCAGAGGGTATGTGCTGACAGCTCAGGTCCACAATTCAGCTGTGATGCTCCTGAGACCTGGCTTAATGAGATGTCTGACCTCTGGCTCTGGAGCTTAAGCAGTGCTGCTGCTCTTGGGTTTTCCTCATCAGGATGTCACGGGGTAGCTGGAGTATAGGATAAGGATGTTGTTATCATCAGTGAAATGGGATGTAAAATAAGTGTGGGTAGCTGGTCTCCCACCTGCCATGCCCTGTGTGAGCGAACCTCCCTGCAGCCCCTGCCTGTGACTGGTGGGGCCTGGGCAAGCTGGGCTGTCTCCTGCGGGGGAAGCCTTCTGTCAGGCAGGGGTGATGAAGACTCTGGGGAGGCGTGGCACATCTGCAGCATGCTTTTTATGTTTTTGTTTTAGTTCTTAAAATTTATTTATTTATTTTTGTGATACTGGGGATTGAAACAGGGCCTCGTGCATGCCAGGCAAGCACTGTACCATTGAAACTTGCCTCAGCCCTCTTGTATGTAGGTTGTTTTTGAGGGTCTCCCTAACTTTGCTGAGGCTGGTCTTGAACTTGAGATCCTTCTGCCTTTGCCTCTCAAGTAGCTGGGATTACAGGTGTGAGCCACCACACCTGGCCATTGTTTTTTTTAGACCTCACACCATACCTCTGAGAATGGTCTTGTCTGTGTGAAGCCATAGCTGAGGGGCTGAGTAGCCCCCACACTTCTGTGTCTCATTGGAGCCACTGTGACTTTCTATCAGTTTAGTTTGGAAAGCAAAATCAAACACTTGGCAAAGCACGGTCTAGGAAGATAGAGTGTGGATGAGCATGTGGGTGACTAGAACTTGTGTTTGTGTCATAGAGGACAGGGAAGCTTCAAGGTGCCTGTTGAAGGAGGAGGAAGTGGCCCTGGAGAAGTCAGTTTGGAAGGCAAAGGTTCCTGCTGACGTCTGTCTTGAAGGCAGCCAGTCCTTTGCCCGAGTCTTGGAGAAGGCCAACTTTAGCACAGAGCAGAGGCTCAGGAAGGCTTCTTAGGGAGTTCTGCTGGTTCCTCTCCATGCACATATACCTGCACACAGATGCCTCATTTGTTGTGCCATAAGCCTGTGTCTTGATCTTTGCTTTAGTGGACAAGGAATCATGTTCTCTGTCTTCCTGAGGACCATTGTCAAAGTGCTCCATGGCCATCTATATTTCAAGTGGCCCAGATGCTGGGCTTGCTTTTATGAAGGCCTGGTTTTGATCCTGTCACCTCTTTCAGAGTTCCTCTCTGAGCTCCTGAAGTGTTATTGTGGGTGTAACTGTGCCCGAGTAAACTGGTGTAGGGTTGTGGGCCACCAGGATTTCCTCTTTTGGGTATGAGAATAGGTGGACTGGTTCCAAAATTTATCACTTCAAAAAAAAAAGAAAAAAAGATACAAAACAATTGTAAGAATTTTTGTAAATGCCACAATGTATCCCCTCCCAGCACAACAATTAAAAAAAAAAAAAAGAAAGAAAAACAAAATTTATCCCTCTAAACCGACTTAAGCCTGCCCCCAGCCATCCGTAGGTAACCTCAGTCTAGTTCCTGCCTCTATGAATTGGCCTATTCTAGGGACCTTGTGCAAGTACAAAGTTGGTATATTTGGCCTTGTGTCTGGCTTATTTCACGCAGCATCATGTTCTCAAGGCTCACCCACATTGTCACACACAAGAATTTCCTTCCTTTATATTGTGTGCTTGCACCACTCTGTCCTCATCAGCGCAGCTGCCATGTTCCTACCTCCTGGCTGTTGGGACAGTGCTGCTGTGAAATGGAGGTGCGGGTGCCTTTCTGAGACCTGCTTTCAGTTTCTCTGAGTGCGCCTGGCAGAGGCAGTGGGCCCTGTGGTGAATCTGTTTCCCTTTTGGAAAGTTTACCATCTTTTGTAGGTAAAGGTAGGAACATTTAGCTCTTTTAAGTCAGGCCATGTATGAATGCAGAGAGGTAGTGTAGTTGGGACTTTTTGTTATGCAGCTTTTGTTCTAAAGGCGGAAGAGAGCCTATCCTGGTTATGGTGGGTGTGCTGATGCAGTGACCTTGAGAGGTGGTGTTTCCCCTGGATGGTTTTTGCTGTGGGCTGATGGTGGTGTGTTTGAACCCAGTGCTTCAGGCTGAGCATTTTTTGCTTGGTGGAGCGGCTCCTTGTGCTGCATCTGGGAGGGGTAGCAGCTGCTGCAGCCCCTCCTGTTCGTCATTTAAGGTGATGCTGACACTTGGGTGAGCTGTCACACAGTTTCTTAGAATCCCAGGGCAGAACAGAGGCTGAGTTCTTGCATGTGTTGAGCACACAGTGAGGACTCCTTGTCTGCAGGTGTGAGACTTTGGGTTTCGAGCATAGAGCACAAGCTGGAAGCATCATTGCTGCTTGTTGGGTGCTTCCGTTGGAAGCAGGAGAGTTCATGTTTTTATTCTTTGCCAAAACACATTGGTAGATATAAAAAAGAGCCCAGGCATGCTGGTGAGTGCTGTAAGTGGGTTTGTTGGTTTTGCATCATGACAGTGTAAGTAAGGTTTGGGTTAGTGGTAGATAGTGGTCTGAATGGGACCAGCGACTGCCCCTGGCTCTCTTTGCTGCATCTTTGGGGACTGTTTGTAACAGTGGCCTCATGTGTTCCTTAAATGAATTACAATAAGCCTTAAATCCCTCTTACAAGTTGGCATTGAAAGTTTTATGTAAATTTATCCAGTTGCAAAGTATATTTTTCTGTCCCTAATGTTAACATTTGAGGACTTTGTCACCTTTTAAGGATGGTCAGGGGACCCAAAATCACAGGGTCATGTTCACCACCCTCCATCAAAAATTTCATGGGCATGTTTTTCTCCCAGTTTCATCCTTCCCTTTTCTCCCTGAATCTGTGTTTTCACTACTTTCCCTGAGAATTTTGTTCTCAGGAATCTCTTCTTGACCCCTTCATGTGTCTGCACAAAGCTACATATGAGTGTAGAGACGTCACTTTTCAGTTCCTACCACATGAAGTGCTGTTTACTTAAGTTTTCCTAGATAGGGTTAAAAAATTGCTGGTACAAAGCTAACTGGAGCACCTGAACAGACTCTTACTGAAACACCACTGCTGATAAGATGTTTTATTTGGGGATCTGCGGTAAGTGACTCTTTGACCTGGCACAGGACAAGGTCTACACTAACCCTGCTTTCATTTTTTTCCTCTGAGAGCTAAGATGTCTTGCTCATGTAATTGAGTAGCTGGGAAGGACAATAGTTTTGTTTTAGCAGTGATCGTTGTCTGGACTTTTCATGTTTGCTCCAGGTTGCCATGTACTATCACCTGACAACTTCCTGGGACCTCATCTGTGTTGGGGCTGGTAAGGAACCAAGAACCGCTTGCAGACAAGGATTTCTCACCCAGTCATTGCAGAATTCCCACGCTCAGTGGCCATGACTCGGTTCCAACACATAAGGTGTAGGGAGAAGGAGTGTTGTGAAGAGGGTGGGGATAGAGGGAGCCGTTTCTCAGGGAGATCTTTAGAGGGGCAGACTCCTAAGACTTGCTCTTTGCAGGCTGTGAGACTCAAGATCCCTGGATGGTCTTTGAGGATCTCCGGGGACAAGGATTTGCACATGCTGGGACTTGGTGGCCACTGGTTTATTCACCCAAACACACATGCACACTCACAGACATAAACACATGCAAATGTACCTCTCAGTGCAGTTGCTGCCTCATCTGTTGACTCATTCTCAGGGAGTATTACGGCAAGCATTCTACACGGTGCTACAGAATTGATGTCTGATTTAATTTTATGTGTCCTTAAAGTTAACATGAGTTTATTGGAAAATTAGCAACATGTACATCATTTTAGGGATGTGAGCCTGAGTAAGTCAGAAAATTCACTGTGATAACATAAGCAAATGGCATAAGTTGATCATGTTTTCACCAGTTTTCCCTGATGGAAATAAGTTACTTGTATAAACAGCCTGCTGAGGCTTGTGCACTGGTACAGGCAGAACAAATCAAAACACCAGCACCAGATGCTGGTACTGTTTCTGGTATTTCCCCAGTAATTGTTATTTCCAAACACATAGCTACATTTAGTAGAAAACAGTTAAAATAGTTTGTCCTAGTGCTAAAATATCCCTAAGAAAAGCATTTGTAAAAGCACTGCAGTGCTTCCTCCCAGCCCTGTATCTTCACAAACACGGAAGCTAATGTTTAGCTTGTCAGTCTTGCAGTACAGAAGTTGTTCAGGTGCTTTTATAGCCAGGGCAGAAAGAAGCACCTTCTAACATTCATGCCTAATGTTTGCAAATGCAGAACTGAATTATGGTCCTTTTTTTTTTCTTTTTGGGAAAAATTTGCATTAGTAAAACTTGACTGGATAAAAGTGAAGGTACAGTCTGGCGTGCTTTTGATACCGGTTGTTCCTGTACTCGTAAGGCCCGGGATCATAAGTGTAGGGCCAGTCTGGGCAGCACAGCGAGACCCCACCTCAAGAAAACAAAAAAACAAACAAAAAAAAGGTAAAAGTGCTGCCTATAACTCAATGTGGAGGGCACATGTGGCCACAGCCCTGAGCACCTGTGAGAGCCAGGCCTCAGGACACCCGGGTCCTTTTGCGTAGAGTGAGCACTCTTGGTGCTGTGTCACTTGGCTTCAGCTTCTTAGCTCCTTGTTGGGATTTTCCTGCATCCCTTTGACTGGTCCTCTTTTGTCCTTTGGGTCTGGGGTCACACTGTGTCTCCTGGTTCTCTGTGGAACCAAGAGTGGGCACGTCTTGGCAGTCCTGGACTGCAGGCTCCCCATCGCCCACACGGACATTCCCTGGGCTGTAGGCTGCCAGCTGACAGAGGGCCACAGCTGCCGTCTGCTTCTGCTCCTCACTGCTGTCCACCACGTGTGCTTCTGGGCCTTTCCCATTTGGGGCCTCAACACGCTGTGTCTCTATGTGGGTTGGCCTGTCCCCGGATCTCTTTTCCTCAGTCTTTGGAGCAGCAGCAGCAGGTCCTGTGCCATGTGGTGGGCTGGGAAGGGCAGGCCTCAGAGCCCGGGCATTACAGGGGTCCTTCACAGAGAGATTGAGGGGCAGATCCTGTAGCTCTGAGAAGCCCAGGCTCTCTTCCTGGGCACTGCCTGAGTACATGGGTCCATGAGCAGCTGCAGGTGTAGCCTCTGACCTCTTAGAGAGGTTGAGGGGGCCTATCCTGGAGCCATCCTCTGGGCTGGACGGTGGGGCCTCCATGGTGGGAGAGGCACTGCCTGTCTGGTCTGGAGGGTCTCTGTCCATGGCCTGGAGGCTAGAAGAAGTCAGAAGGCTTAGTGAGGACTTGCTTAGGAAAGTGACCATGTAAAACACCCTGAGCAAGTGTGAACTTGGCTAGGCCAGCACAACCCAAAAGATTTTGAAAATGAAACTTTCTTACCTTTTTGGAGACTCTGCTCTGTTTGCAGTTGTCTGGGAATGAGGGACAGGTTTAAAGGCTGTAGAGCTCTGCTCAGGCTGCTGGAGTCGCCCTAGGGTCCCCATGGAGGCTGCTTTGTTTGAGAGGTCATATAGGCCTTCACATGTCTGGCTTGTCTGTGTGAAGTTGGTGGGGCTTGGCCTTCCTGGGGAGCCTGTGGCTGCACTGCCTGCACGGGGGCTCATTTTGGCTCCTTCTGTGTCCCTCTGTCCGTCTTTGGAGGGGTCTTTAGTCTTGGGTGTTGGGCTTTCCTTCTCAAACTCTGTGTGTTTTTTGTGGGAGTTTGGAGAGTTTAACTCAGAGGGACTTGAAACCGGATAGGCTAGGGTGGCTTCTTCAAGCAGGCGAGAACTCTGATCACGTGTGATGCCCGTGACAGGTGGGAGCCTGAGACCGTAGGAGGAAAATGCAGACTCCGGTCTGTAAAATCCATAAGGAATTGGCAGGTTGGAGTGGTATTGCTGGAGAAACCTGTAGTGCTCATATGTTGATGGGGACGGGTTCAAGTGCTTTGGGAGCGGCCCCGGGTGAGGCAGGAAGTGTCTCTGGTCTTGAGCCCCATAGACGGAAAGCAGGGTGGTGTCACATTCAGGTGCATTTCCAGTCAGCAGGTAGGGGGAGTAGATGGCAGCCAGCCCATGCTCTGTGTAGAAGGGAGGGGGGTACTCTGGGATTGCGGGGTGCACATAGGGAGAGATGGCACTGAAACCCTTTGTAGTTGGGATTTTATGTGGAAACTCAGGTGGGAGGAATGGGGATCCAGCTTTCCAGGGATAGCCTGGAGTGTGGAATGCAGACTTGGCATGGAAAGACGTGGCTTTGGTTGTCGGGCTGGTTAATGCCAATATTTCAGGAGCCTCTGTGTCTTCTGGCCCCCTAAGTCTGTGCTCCCCAACTGGAACAAATGCTGAAGGCCGAAGCCCGCTGTCCAGACCAGGCTGGGTGCTGAGGACAGCATCTGGTGCCATTTCCTTCTGGAGGGCTGGCTTCTGCGGGCACTTGTGGGTCCCTCGAGCCCGCAACTCCAGGTTCTCTTTGGTATCTTCACTGGTAAAGCCCTGAGGAGTCTTCGGATCAAAGCTGGAGAGTCCGTTTGTAAGGGACTTGGAAGTGGCCAGCTTTGTGGCAGGCTCTGGCTGGTGGGTCTGCTTAGGGTCCAGAGAGCTGGACTTGGGGCACTTGGGCACACGATCTTGTTCTGACACCAAGGTGATGGAGTTCTTACAGAGACCGTACTTCATGTGGTTGAAGAGGTGTGACTTCTCATTGCAGGTGAAGGGACACTGGAAGCATTTGTACTTGAAGGGCTTTCCTGGGGGCCTCGGGATATAGTGTGGCTTTTTTGGCTTTCGTTCCTTCAGGAGGCTCATTGTCCTCTGTGTTTGGACTCGGGTCTGCTCAGTAGTGTGGTCACTGCTGGCCCCTCTTTAATCAGGAGCTTGTGGCTTTTCAGGAGGTGAGTCTTTCCTCTTGTTTCTGAGCACTTTTATTTGAAGCCAGCTTCATGTGCTCAGGGTCTTACAATAGAGCTGCAAAGACAGACAGAGACTAGTGTTAGGCGAAGGGTTGGCAGGTCACTGCCCTTACTGTATCACCAAAGGTAGAATACCTGCAGAGAGAGCAGGTGACGCCTGCATCTTCTCCTGACTGTTCTGCCAGCTGCCAACTCCCTGTGATGTTTTCTGTTTTCTTAAGACTGACCTGAAAGAATTGCCTGGGGCTGAGAGAGCCAGACACATGAAGGGTTAGTGTCAATTCTGGGAATATCTGTAATTCTTTGAGTTTTGAGGACCTTTGTCCATATTAGGACCTTTCCTGGGTCTATGTCTGCAGAGTTTATGGGTTCTGTCCTAGGGTTGTCTGTTGCCTGCTCTGACCGGACTTTCACAGGTGCTGTGAGACCAGGTGCTTAGACAGCAAGGTGCTGTGGTGCTGCTAAGTGTGCTATAGCAGCTCTGCCCTATTTGGCCATGTTGCTGGTGTGTTGTGCATGTGGGCATTTACAAATGGAGAATATTTAGACGTGGGTTCATATATATATATATATATATATATATACACATATATATGTATATGTGTATATATATATATATTTATTTATTTATTTTTGTGGAGCTACTGATAGAACATAGGGTTTTGTGCATGCTAGGCAAGTGCTATACCACTGAGCCACACCCCAGTCCTAGTAAGTAGCATTTATGTTGGCTCGATACAAATATAAATGCTGTTTAGGTGACTCAGAGTGTGCAGTGCCATCAGGGTGAATTTGTAAGTCCCTGAGTGACTTTATGTATGTTCTGCCCACTGCCTGCCTCATCCTTGCATTGGAATAAACTCACATGTCCACTTTGCCTTTCCTACTGTGCCTCCAAACAGCCAAGCCAAAGCTTTGCAACCTGTGCTCAGGAGACAGAGTGAGTGGCGCCTGGATGGAGGGTGGCAGCTGTCCACCCTCTTCCCAGCCCTGTTGTCCCCTCTCTTATTTGCCCTCACTGTGCCTCCTAACCCAGTGCTGAGCACGGCCCGAGATGACTATTGTAGGTGGGGTTTGGGCACCTCAGTTTGTGTAGGGAATGTGAAAAGCGAAAGGTCTCCTGGTTCTGACTACTTTTTAAACTTAAAAATAAAGTTCAGTGAAAATGATTTAAGGAGAGAGTTTCCAGCTGCAAAACTGAGTCTGTGAGGTAGATGTATGTACAGCAGTGCCTCTAGATTGGGGTCAGCCAACTGGAAGCCACCCCTTTAGGAACAGGACCATGCACCTCCGAGTCTGAGGCCTTACAGCAGTGGGACAGTGGCAACGAGCCGCAGGAGCGGGGTCTCCATTTTCATTTGGACACTTCAGTAATCTGATTTTATTTGGTTTCTCTGCTGATTTATTTGTATTTCTTAAAATCACCTGTGCTAAGTGGTGCACACTTGTAATCCCAGCACTTGGGAGGCTGAGCAGAGAGGACTGAATTCTAGGCCAGCCTGGGCTACATAGAGAGAACCTGCCTCAAAATAACAGCAACAAGAAACCCACAGGAGCTACTGTTCCCTCCCCCAGCTGCCTCTGTTAAAAGTCAAGAAGTGGTTGGGAGAACAGAAGACTGCTGATACCAAAGCTGTCACTGTGAACTTCAGCATGGCAGTGAGAGTGAAGCATGGATATTGGATGAGAAGTGAGAATTTTGGTTGCCCCATCGCCGAGAGAGAGCCCTGGGCCCTCTTGGGGATGTGGGGATTCTGGGTCCTGCCTAGACTCCTGCCATGGGCTGCTGTAGAAGCTACTGTCAAAGCTGAGCAAATCATACATGTAGTGATAGCTTTATGACTCTCTCTTTTCCTCTCTTACTAAAAGAAAAAATGTGAGGTAATTCTCTCTGGGCTCAGCCCGTACCTGGGGGGCAGGTCTGCCCTAGGGGGTAAGAGTGTGGTTTCGCTGCCTGTCACGGAGCAGGAGAAGCTGCCTGACTCCAGCCGATGAGGGTGGCTGGGTAAGTCAGCGGGGGCCTGTGTGGGCATGCTCATTACACTCCTGATTCTGAAGGCGTGAGAACCTCTGCAAGGCAGGTTCCCAGGCTGTGCAGGATATGTCATGGCACAGATCTGAGAGCGGTGATTTCATCACTAGCTGGAAGCACTGTGATCAAAATGATGACAGTTGCAAACCTTTATCAAGTATGAGCTGTGTCCCAGAGACACCGCACACTGGAAGGGTCAGAAAGTCCCCTCAGGATGTAGGAAAATGATGATGGGACTTCAGAGCAAGCTGCTGAATGTTGCTTTCAGGCAAAAGGAATAAGCACACCACAGTGGTTAAATGAGCATACCCCTTGTGGCCAAGCACTCGGGGCGTGGGCTTACCCTAGTGTCATCCCAAGCCATAACTTGGGCACACCCACTCTTTTCTAACATGCCCTCTTCTCAGTCAAATGTGGTTGTCTGAAGTTTTGCCTTTCATTCTGTGGCCAGCTGGTCTCCACAACAGTGGGCAGGCTGGGCAGGGCAGCCCAAGGTTCCTGTGCCAGGGTTGAAGGCTGAGGGTTTTACTTTAGGGTTATTGCCAGAAGGGAATATCATAAAATTTGGGGTCCCAGGCCCAGCAGTTTTAGTAACTTTGGGTAAATTGATCTCTCAGGATTGTACAATTGCTAATTAAAGCAGGGAACTCAGCTGCTCCGAGGCAGGTGTAAGGCAGGCGTAGCTCACTTGTCTATAAACTGCTGCTGCGTTGGAGAAGTAAGTGGGATAAAATTGATGCTTTTGTAAGCTTTTGAATGATGATGTCAGCCTGTGAGCTCTCTGTCCAACTCAAGTGAGGTTTACAAGGATGAAGAAACCAACCTACAGCCATACAGCAGCTGGGTGTATACATCTGTGGGCAGAAAATTGAAGTAGTCCCATCAGGTCAGTTTATACCTGCTGGACTTTGTACTGTCTGGCAGTTGCTGGTGTTAAATATTTCAAAAAGAGCACATGTTGCCAAAACAGTAAAACCCAGAACTTTGACTGTTTATAGTAAGTTTGGATTTGCATTCAGAGGTAAAGTTTTTTTTTTTTTTCATTTCTTTTTATATGCGGTACTGGGGTTTGAACTCAGGGACTCATGCTTGCTAGGCAGGCATTCTATCATTTGAGCCACTCTACCAGCCCCCAGAGGTAAAGTTTTTGAGAAAGGTGTGTGACTGTCCCTTTCCTGGGGTGATGTGTTCCTACCTTGTGAGTGCACACCTGGAGGGCTGTGTGGAGCTGTGAGTTCAGGAGAACCCCTTAGGTAGCTCTGCCTGACTTGAGCGTTAGCATGAATATGGAAACAGTGGCAAGTTCTGAGGCGGTTCACCCAGCCCATACCCTCCTTGAGATTCCTCACATCTCCCCAGGCAGCTGAGACCTCCCTTTCCAGATCACTTCCGGCCACAGTGCAGGCAGTGTCTGCACTAAAGGCATGAAAACAGTGGGCACAGTGACCTAATAGTGTGCACAAGCTTGAGCCTCTGCTGCCATTTCCTGTTCAAATGCAGATGCCACCTGTGTGGCTTTGGTATTTGAAATGTCTCCTGGGTCCAGCTGCTTGATTTTTGCCTGGATTGAGAGTTCCCTCCTCCTGCCCAGTGTACCATCTGGGATGACTTCCCAAAGCTCTGTGAGCAGCCTGTGGTTTTGGTTGGCCACAGGGTTCTGTTTGTTTTGTCTTACAGTACTAGACTTCAGCAGGTCCCTAAGTGTGGGCATTTAATATAGCTGCCAGTGCCAGGCAACAGTGAATGGCTGGCATGTTTAAAAAGTTCCTAAGGAGTTTGAACTTGGAAAATAGACAAAAGGAGGAGTATTTTCAAGAGAACTCTTGACAGGACACCATGGAGGTAATTACAGATTGGCTCTGTGGGACAGCCCAGACCAGGCTGGCTAACTATGCTTGTCCGGCATATCCACCCGTGAGCTGAGCCACTGCCATGTTTCTCCTGGTGTGTCCAGCTGTCTGGCACAGATCCTCGCAGGTGGAACGTCTTGAAGGACATGCTATAATTACAACACTGTGATGTGGCGTATTGCGCCACTCAAGGGCACGCCACTGTCGTCTACCCACTGGCTGTCGCAAGAACAAGACTTGTGAGTCTTATCCAGTGGAGCTTTTAAAGTGACGGCCGCCACTCCCACCGGGCTTTTTGTTCTTTAAGACTAAGTGAAACTTGATGATGACCATGACTTAGGGAGAAGGCAGTTTTCTGGTGTATATTTGGATGAAAGGATTCAGAATACAGCCAGGGGCTCTGTCTTGTCAGCCCAGTGTGTACCCAGGTCTGGCCCCAACTTCAGCCTCAACCCCAACTCAGTCCCAGCCCATCACACCAGAGCTCTGCTCACCTCATTTGTAGCAGACCAGCCTAACACCCTGGAGGGCCTTGATCGATTCAAAATAGACACCAGGAAAACAAATGCAGACAATTCTGCCTATGATTTGGTCAATCTTGGCCAGCAATTTGGTCAATAATTTCATACAGATTTAAGAGAAATTTCACATAAGGAAAAACACCCCTTTGTGTGTGTGTGTGTGTGTGTGTGTGTGTGTAACCTTAACAACCGAACAAAACCTTAACCTTGTTGGTTAACAAAACCAACCAACAAGGTTTGAAAGGCTATGTCAAAATTGTATTTATTTTAAACTTCAAAAGTTTTAAAAACTAGATGAGAAATTAAGATCAGCAGGTGTCTACTCATACATATGCACATTTATATGATCCTTACCTCTTTTATGTTGAAATTTATTGTAGCTTATTTTCAAGGTAGGGAACAGTTAAGCAATAATACAAGTTTATGTTTTGGTTTACCTTTTGTGAATTTTATGGTAGAAGCTTGTTCATAGAATAAAGTGTCAGCCCCATTAGGAGTTTTGTAATTGTGGTCTGTATCCCCGCAGAACACCTGCCGGGTCCTGAGTAATCCTCAGGACACAGACACCAGCAGGGCAGAGCAGACACCAGTGAGTATTCATTCAGCCAGCTATTTTAAGATTAGTTTTGAAGGAAAACCTGAATCTGAGAAGAAATCGAAAGCACTTACCGGAGGTGGGCAGTGCTGGGACACAGTGCCGGAGAGGTGCTGAGGGCTGAGGAGCAGGATCTGTTCTCACGCCGGCTCGCTGGCTCGGTGAAACTGGAGCCGGCTGTTCCAGTGGGAGGGATTTAAGTGTAGGAGTTGAGCCCTCCAGGCATAGAGATGCACCTGATATTCCTCCGCCCGCAGCTACGATTCATGTGTTTGCACCCACTGAGTTCCATGCAGCCTCACCGAACATGGACCTAATGAGCCAGGCGCCACCGTGGTGGCTGTGTGGGGGCTGTGTTGGTTCCTGCCAGGGTGCAGAAGCCTGTGTGGAGGGTCCTGCTCTGATAACAGTTAATGTACAATAAAGACTCATGTATGAGGCTTCCCTTCCTTCAGAGCTTCAGCATGTGCACACAGCAGCAGGTCAACACTCAGGTGTGTTCTGAAATACGTGCCCCTTGAGGGACAACCTACATGGTGTTCTTGTGAGGGCCAGTGAAACCTCTTTCCACCTGTGTGCCTTTCACCCTCGCTCTGAGGTTTTTTGTTGAGGTCCTCTGGAGAGCTGAGCTGGCGGGCAGAAGCTAACCTTGCTGCCTGTCACAGGGACCTGCTGGAGCATGCCCGGGGCCTGTGCTGGCTGTGGAGGGAGCTAGAGCTCACCCATGCTGTCAGGGGAGTCAGTGCTGCACACACCCCCTCTTTAAAAAATAACTCAGACTCTTGATTTTGGGGCTATTTTATTCTCTCCCCCAAACTGTTTGCTTCTGAGACTGTCACCCAGCTTCAGTGAAGGCTGGAGTGTGGTGTCAGTGTGGGGATAGTGGAGACTGGGTGATAGTGTCAACCCTTGATCATGCCCAGAGCTACTGGCAAAGACCAGAGCACTGAAGCATGAGGACAATGTCCTCAGGGCAGGACGCTGGGTTTTCTCTCTTATTTAAGACTCAAGATTTTACAAGGCTTTACCTGTCTACTTAATTCTTTAAAATTTTCTTCAGTGACTTTTGTCCCATTCACACAGCTATATGATTTAAAGACTCAAAAAATAGCTCCGTATCACAAGAACAGCAGTTCCCCATAATTCCTCTTATCTCTTGCTGGGTAGCAAACTTCCTCCAGCTCAGTGATTTGAGATGTTCACTACTGAATGATCTGTCGTGGTCTTGCAGTCTCATGGTCTTACCAGGAGTTGGGCAGGGTTCCAAGAGCATGTTTCTCTTCGAGGGATAGATTGCCCAGGGGGATAAAGACCTGGCTGCTTTGAGGCAGCTGCTCCAGTGTGGCTCACTTCAGAGGACGTCCTCGAGGGTGGGCAGCCTTACGAAGGCTCAGGACTCCAAGAGAGCAAGATAGAAGATTGCAGTCCCTGAGAGGCCAGGCTGAGAATTGTTCTAGTGCCACTTCTGTTGTACTTCCCCAGTGGCCACAGCTAGCCAGATTCACTGCAGGGCTAGCAGGAGAGGGCTGTTGTACCACATTCCCTCTGCTTGCAAGCACACTATGACCTTTCCTTAGCCGAGAATTTGGTATTTATTGCCTTGAGTTCAAGTAATATTAATCAGTTGCCAGTTTGGTTGCCTTCCACTCCCAGGTTTAGGTGTTTTCCTGTTGACTTTTTTCATGGATCCTTCTCTGTTCTGCCTTCTGCATCCTTCTGGGGTCTCTGTCTCTTTCCTTTGCTAGGAGTCCTGCTTCTCAGATCCATGCCACCTTCTCCTTTGGGCTAGTCCTGTCTTTGCTCTGTCCTACATGTCCACACTTCCTGCCCTCTATCCATCTATCCTACTTTTTTTTTTTTGTGATACTGGGGCTTTTACTCAGGGCTTTCACCTTGAGTCACTCCACCAGTCCTTTTGGCGATGGGTATTTTTGAGAAAGGGCCTTGCGAGCTATTTGCCTGGGCTGGTTTTGAACCACGATCCTCCTGACCTCTGTCCCCTGAGGAGCTAGGATTATAGGCATGAGCCACTAGCACCTGGCTCATCCTACTTATTTCTGCACTTCACAGAGTGGCCCCTTTCACTCAGCCTCTTAAGCACTTGAGCAGGTGCAGTAGTTTACAATGCTTCCTTTGAAGGTGATACCCCATACCACCTTTACAGGAGGGTTCCAATCCTAGGGGTAGCATTTAATGAGTAGTGTCATGAAGCACAGCCCCACCCCCATGAAGCACAGCCTCACTGTGCTCCTACCACAGATGTAGCAGCCATAGCCTGATGGGTTCTGGTGTGTTTCACCTGTTCCAGGACCTTATATGAACTGTGACCCCTGGTTCTTTATATGTTATTGATTCTCACCTGCAAGTTCGTATCTTTCTTGTTAGTATTTTCAATTTCCTTAACTTTACTTCTAACACTTCTATTATGCATCTCCCTTATACAGCTAGGATCTCTGCTTTCACAGAGCTCTGAGTGGTCCTGCTTTGATATCTCATTCTTATCTCTGAGAATTTTAATGATAGTTCTTGGCAGGGGAGGGGTAAGTGTTGGATCTGTGTATTCCCTGTGGTGCTTTTCTGTTTTCAGTGTGCTCTGCCTGCTGTTCCAGCCCTGTATGGGACCAACTAGGGTCAACTCTGTCTCCTGCAGGTGTGGGGCTTCTCCAGTGCTCCTTGTGGGATTACCAGAGTTCTCGCTCTGCAGACCTTGGGCCTTTCAAGGACTCTGTTGTGTTGGTCAGGGAGAGTCTGGGCTTCCTCGGGTTCAGTCATTCACCATGGGTCCATAAGCTTCCAACCTCCTTCCTAGTCCTTGTTCTGCCTGTTGCTGCCTTCCCTGTCCTCCTTGACCCTATAGCTTATGCCTTAAAAAGGCAACAGTCTTTTTTCTGTTCTTGAGTGAGGTTGGACCCCCTTACATGTGCATTCTATCCTCTATATTACCTAGAAGTCTTACGATGAAGTTTCTGACATGAAAGGGAAATCTTAGGAAGGGAAAATAGGGATGGTCACTAAATGTCCTCCAGGTGTGGGGCCCTGTGCCAAGTGCCATCTGTATCAGTCCTCCTAATCACAGGAAAAGCTACACACTTGCTTCTCAGAGTCAGAAGAGCACAGACAGATTAAGTAACATGGCATGGGAATCCAGTCTGCAGGGTGACAGTCTCATTACATAGTACAGGGAAGAGACGTCTCCCTGTGAGGTGCTAAATGGCGTGGAGGGGGGCGGGTAGAGGGGACCTGGGGCAGCAGCCAGTGTTGGCTGGCAGCATCTCAGCTGGATGTAGACAAGTGCAGGTGACCCCGTTAGCCTGATCAACCCTATCAGAGCCTCTCTCCCTGGGTCATGCAGGCCTGAGGCTGTCTGCAGTCATAGGAGAAGCAGGACCACTCTTTTGCACTGGAGAGGGTGAGGGCAAGCAGGCACAGACACTCTTCTGAATCACACTTAGCTGCTTGTATCATGGGCCAGGCTGCCTAGACTGCTACATCTGTGATGTGGGGCTTGTGCCTGGCTGTCTTCTATCTGAGCGGTCTGTGATGGCCTCCACTCCAGGTCTGACGTCACTTCACACAGCAGCCTCTTTCACAAAGCATTGTTGAAGAAGGAAAAGATCAATTTTATTTTTGACCTTTTGAATGAAGGCAAGGTGGTTTTTACTTTAAGTCTTTGCACTCCTTTTGGGGAGGTAACTTTAGAGGAAAGTAAAAAGGAAGTAGAAAATCTGTGGGAAAGACAGAGGCCATGGTTTGGCTTTCCATGTGCCCTGCAGTGAGTGTTCAAGGTGAGGACTACTCCTCATTTCACCAGCCCCAGGGGACAGTTCCAGGGGCCTAGGGTGGTTCATGTTCTGGTGCTGTACTCAGGTCTCTCCTGAAATGTGAGCTCTGCCCTGTGAGGTGACTGGAGACAGGAGGGAAGGGATGATGGTACTAGGGTGATGGGAGGGGACTGTGTGGCTCCCTGGGGGCACTCAGGGCAGCAGGGTCTGTGATGGCCCAGCATTTGATAAGAGTAGTAACAGGTTGCATGGGATCTGCCCCAGGCTCTAGAATTCTGAGTCTAGCCTACCCTGCTCTCTGAGCCCACCTGCTCTACCTGCTGCTCTCTTCTTTGCAGAAAAGTGTGTCTGAGGGCTCTGGGCTGTAATTCCTTTACAGCTGGAATTACTACTAGTAAGAGACTGTCTAAAGATGTTATTTCTCTGAGCTCCCCAGGGTGATGACCCTGTTCCTCAGCCTTCCTCCAATCCCATCTTCTTCTTGAGACTACTGTGATCCCATTGCTTTCCTTGCCAGGTTTTTGCCCCGTCCGCCAAGTCCCAGTGCTGAGTCTGTGGTCGCCATGGGCTGCAGGTCCATCAGGAAGCCTACTGAGGGTAGCTAGCCCTTCCCTGTGATATGTGCACTTTCCTAGACTTGGATTTGGCCCCAGGCACCACTCTTGTTGCATTGCTTAGAGCCTCCAGGCAGGCCAAGAGCAGCAGCCCATGGCCAAGTCCTGATGTTCTGCAGACACACCTGCCCAGAGCCTCTGCAGGCCAAGACTAGACAGGCTTACCTCCCTCCTGACCTGCTATCGTTGCTTAGAACCCCTCCAGTAGGTGGCTGTGGCTACTGGTCCCTGGGCCAGTGAGGCCTGCGCCCCGTCTGCAGCCTGTGGGTCTCACCTGCCAGGCAGAAGACAGCCACTTGTGGAGCCCCCACCACCCAGCCATCTCCTCAGGTTGTGCTCTCAGTTTCTCATTTTAACACCAGTGGATGTTCATTTATCTTGTCCATTAGTTCAGTGATGGAGAAGTGAAAGTAGAGTAAGTTAAGCAGTTTTAGTGAGATAGGGTCACGGTGTATGAGAGTATTTAGGCAAAATTTTGTTGTTGGGCATTTATTTTCCTGTGATGGGTGAACGAAGACTTCATTGTAACATGAAGGCTGAGGCATGTAATGCCATTACTAAAGCTTTAATTTATTTATTATTCAAATGATGCCCCTGTTTGAGTTTAATGGACCTGGAGCAAACTTTTTTTTTCTTTCTTTTATGTAGAGCTAATTTACTTGCAGTGGTGGGTGGGAGAGGAAGAAAGGCCCTTCTTGTGCCCTTTGTCCTACCCAAGCCCCTCCCCGGCTGTCTGTCTGAGGGTGGTGGTGCCCTGGCTGGGAGGTGCCTGTGGTAGGAGGCCTGGCCGCAGTCAGAGTGCCCTTGGGCAAGTTTTGCAGGGCACAGGTTCCCCTGGCTGCTCCTTGCATTTAAGTGGGTTCCTCCAGGCTCCTTCTGAGCCTTCAGGGTGAGAGAGGGTGAGAGGCATTTTGTTCCTGTTTGTGTAAACAGGTCCTGGTTCTTCCCATCTCTCTTGGTTGCTCTGTCTAAAGGGAAACCTGAAACTCTGAGCGGTGACCTGCTTTGTCTTTGATTGGGAAACTCAGTTTGAGTTTGTGAACCTGGGCCAAGTCTTGAGGATTCCCACTGTTTTCTCAACCTGCCTCCTCTCCCTGGTAGTGCAGCCTGTGTGGTGGAGCCTCCTGTCCTACCTCACACCTGTATGTCCTCCAGGAGCAGCTCAGGGATTCTGCCCCCTGGTGAATTTCCTATGTTCATGTAACACTCAAGTTTCTTTTTTTCCTCTCATGCTACAAATAGCAACTGTGAAAAGCATGACAGTAATAGCCATG